TCCTCTCATCTTGGATTTTTCTTACTTTGTGGCTAATCTGGATTAATTGGGTTTACCCTATGATACCTACCAGAAGTAGAGGACCATTATGCAGACAGCCAAGAATGAACACACAGTGAGTAGGGCTTATTAGGCCCATGTGGACAAGACCTCAGTTGACTTCTTTCCAGCAGATCCACTGGTGCAGGTGGCAAAGAATATATTTCCTCATCCACTGTGATTTTCTTTTTTTAATCACTGAGTTATTTTAGTTGCTCAGCTGAATTTCAATCTGGCCCATGCAAGTTTTTGCATAACCCAGCTCTATGATTAGCATCTAACATTGGGGGCGGAGGGCTGAGAAAGATAAAGTTCTGAGAAGCCACTGAAAGTGCACATGTTCAGAATATTGTTCTATTAATATTCCAAACCAGTGAAGAAAGCCTAAAGGAAATGATGTTTGCTTTCAAACATATATGAACATCTGAATCAATTCTTTTTTTAATGAGATTAAGTTATTTTCCATTTTGGCAAGACCATTTTTTAGAACAATGTTACCCCAGGATGAATACTCACCTGGACATCTTTTCTCGTTGCACTGCTTGAACTCCTCTCTGGTGCCTTGGCACACGCTTCCTCCAAAGAAAGGACCGTAGCATGACCGATCCCGCTTCTGTGTCCCACCTCCACACGTGGCAGTACAGCTTCCCCACGGACCCCATACCTGCCACTTTCCATCCACTGCAGAAGGAAGAGGAAGAGAAAAATGTAAGACAAAGAGAGAGCAATTGCCTAACAACAAACTGCACCTTTAAGAAGTCTACCATACACCCCAGAAGTATGTAGTTTCAGATATACCATTATTAGCTAACTTGGGGCTGATATCTTCCTAAATGGCCTTGGGTGTGCAAAGGATTGTATTGAGTCATTTTGCACATACATATTCACAAGCCTTTCCTTAACATTAAAATGAAAGCCCTATGAGGAGCGGCATAAGGAACTGGGCATGTTTAGCCTGAAGAAGAGAAGGCTGAGAGGAGACATGATAGCCATGTATAAATATGTGAGAGGAAGCCACAGGGAGGAGGGAGCAGATCTTTTCTAGGACACGAAACAATGGCTTCAAACTACAAGAGAGGAGATTCCATCTGAACATGAGGAAGAACTTCCTGACTGTGAGAGCCATTCAGCAGTGGAACTCTCTGCCCCGGAGTGTGGTGGAGGCTCCTTCTTTGGAAGCTTTTAAAAAGGGGCTGGATGGCCATCTGTCAGGGGTGATTTGAATGCAATATTCCTGCTTCTTGGCATGGGGTTGGACTGGCCCATGAGGTCTCTTCCAACTTTTTGATTCTATGATTATATTCTATGATTCTATGAATGGTCATCCCTAGCACAATGGTGGTGCGACCTGATGTGGTGACTGTGACCTGATGCACAATGGAACTATTGTACATCTGGAAATTGGATAGGAAATGCTAGAGCACAACAGGAGTGCCCAGTGCACATTGGAAGTACTCAGTGCACAACAGAATTGCTCAATTCGCATTGGAGCAGTGATGGGCAATCTTTTGAGCTTGGCGTGTCAAAATTTGCCAAAAACCTGAGCATAACTTGGGTAGAGTGTCACTTCAAGAAAAACCCATAATTTTGCAATATTTATAGTTTAAATAAGAAAAATGTATAATCCATGCTGAGTTATGGAGTGAACAATGCTCAAACGTGCAGATGTTAAATTTGTAGAGCCTTTTACAAATTTAAGGATGGAATTAGATTGGCTCTTATAAGGTGTATTTCTCTGTATGTGGCCGCATGTGTCTGTGTGTCATCAAAAATAGCCATGTGTGTCAGTGCTGACACGTGTGTCATAGGTTCACCATCACGGGCCTAGGTGCACATCTTTGCAACCCGTTACCATGATTGATAAGATTATGAACAATAGACTGCAATGTAGGATCTCACCCTTCACATTTCTTGTGGTTAGGAGCACAGAACCCTTATAAAAGTGGAAATTTAGGGATCTTTAGGTCTTCCAGTACCACTTTACGGTAAATGCCAACCAAAAGTATGAAGTTATGATGGAGGACCTAGAGATTAGATTCCTAGGGAGGTCTTCAACTTCCGGAGGAGAATCTGAAAGATCCGGAGAGAGCATATTACTCAAATCCTTGAGCAATCAAATCCTCAAAAGTTAAATTCACAAATGTGTATGTGTGTGTGTGTGTGTGGGGGGGGGGGGGTCAAATGTATTTCTTAATATTCTTTTATATTCCTTTGTATTCCTTAGTTTCAAACCAGTTTACAATCACTATTATTTTAATTTGAAAATTCCCAGCACACAAAAGGCAAAAAGCAAGGCAAGTATTATAAAATTAAGGCCTGTTAATGGCCACTTACCATTATGAAACAACAGTGATAAATAAAAATTCAGCACATTGTACAAAGTGTGTACCCCTCCTCTCCAGAAACCACATATGCAGGTACAATGTCATATTTTGGCTGCAATAGGAAGGTTTATATTTTATTATTTTAAGGGAAGATCAATAATTTCTAGGTTTTTCTCCCCACTGAAGAGAAAGCAAGTATTTCTTAAGAGTTTTTGGCCTTGTATTCCCATATCTAAAGGTATTTTGATAAATTATTCTGGATCTGCTTTAGCTGGAGATCCTGCACTGAAACAGGGGACTGGGCTTGCTGACCTTTTCTAACTATATAATTCTATCAGAAGAAACATTCTTAGGCCTTTCTAAGACTTCTGTGGCAGGCATTTTTATTTATTTTCTTTAGTGCAGGCTTGAGTTGCATCCTGGTGTGTTTTGGCCCTTCAAAAGCATTTATCTTATGTGAAAGCAAGATCAGGACTGTTCCAGGCATTTAGCCTCCTAAGTGTAATGCACATAGGTCGATTAAACAGATGTCCCATCAAGCACAACTGGGCTAAAGACCTATATAAACTCCATTTTCATGACATATCCAACCCAAGAAGGAACAACGAAGGCTTGGATAAGGTCACATCTTCCCATCCTTCCACCTCCTCACTGACCTTTAGAAGCCGAGGCTGCCAAGAGAGATATCATCAGTCTTTCATGGAAAGTCATGCCTGGCTTGACTATGGAAGTCAAGAACGTGGTTCCTTATATGACTAACCTGGGCATTGTCGAAGGAAGCAGTCTCGTGTCTCCACCCAGTGTCCTTGGCACTCGGCTCCCCCATAGGATGGTCCATTGCACTCTCTCGTCCGCTGCTGGGTCCCGTTGGAGCAACTGGTGGAACAGGAGCTCCAACTGGACCACTCGTTCCAGTTGCCGTCCACTGAGTGGCCCAAAGAAGGAAAAGAAAAAAGGCAGAATGTGAAAACCGCTTTTGCACAGCAGGGTAGCAAGCCTGCCAGTTTTCCTTCTTTACGGAAGTCAAAGCAAACGTATGCTTTCTTAAGTAATGGTTACTTAGTAGCCTAGGCTATATATCAACTGAAGTGATAATTAAGCCATTCCAAATCCATTCTCTTTTTCCTATCTTGCCTATTGTTTTTCTCACCCTTCTCGTTCTTTCGCTTTCGCTTTCTCCTTCATCCTATCTGTATGCCAGTTAAGGTTGCCCAAGAGAAAACTGAAAGCTATCCCTCTACCTTGAATTGTTATGTAGAAAGGTGATTTTCAGCAGCTGTTCCTTTTAATCTAGTTCCATGACAAGCAACACCTGCTGATATCCCTACACAACTATAGGAGCTCTCTGTAGTTTTCAACCTGTCAATCCTGTCTATGGGCCACATACAGCTCCCAAAATCATACTCCTCTCCTTTTGTAGTTTGAAGGTACTTCTGGCCATCAAGGGAAAGAATTTAAATAAATAGGCAATATAAGGTTGGTATCTTCTGCACACATCTGTGAAATCATAGAATCAAAGAGTTGGAAGAGACCTCATGGGCCATCCAGTCCAACCCCCTGCCAAGAAGGAGGAATATTACATTCAAATCACCCCTGACAGATGGCCATCCAGCCTCTGCTTAAAAGCTTCCAAAGAGTGTGGTGGAGGCTCCTTCTTTGGAAGCTTTTAAGCAGAGGCTGGATGGCCATCTGTCAGGGGTGATTTGAATAAGGAAAAGAAAGAAGAGCTAGACATCAAATGAGAAGTATGAGGGATTTCAAGGAGGTCAAGCAAATGTTTGTGTTTTCCAAAGAACCCCATCAAGGTGGGAATAAAAATAGAATAGTAGGACTATGCCATAGAAAGGGAAAGAGGAAAGGAAGCAACACTCTTATATATTCCAACAGACCTCACTACCTCTGAAGATGCTTGCCATAGATGCAGGCGAAACATCAGGGGAAATGCCTCTAGATCATGGCCATATAGCCCGAAAAAACCTACACCAACCCAGTGATTCCAGCCATGAAAGCCTTCGACAATACTCTTAGGACCATTTGAAGTGGAGATGGAAAAAACATTGAAGGAAAGAAGCACAACTATTGGAATTTGGAGGTCCTTGGGAAACCCTTAGAAAACTGTGTGTCCCCAACATGTCTGCCATCTTTGTGGATCAGAAAAGATATTTCAATAGGTTTGGCCAATAAATTCATTCATTGAAGTCCCTCCCCGAACAGCTTTCCTACCTCCATTCATATTCGGAGGTGGGGAAGCAGGAATCCAGGAGAGATGGAGGAAGTTGGTGGAATCTGGGATATGGAACCCTGCAATGATCCATAGACATACAATTAGTTACATGACTTCAATGCCTCACTGAAGGTGAGGTGAAGCCTTCACAAGGGCTGAAGTGGTGTAGCAACAGGGAAGAAAAGTAAGGCATCCCTTCAAGAAGAATTCTTCTACCCCAATGAAATTTCTATTATTCTACCTGATTTCCTCATCTATTCCATCTCCCTGACATTTCTGTCCAAAACCTCGAGTATTTTGGCTGCAAAATAATGTTGGCTAGTTCAGAACAAAAAGAGATGCTTCAAGAGAAGCTCCCCAAAATCATAAAAGAAGAAAATTATTATTTCTGGTCTATGGAACATGGGCAGAAATTTGCTTCTCCCCTATCTCCTCATCAAGATTATGGCAACAAGAATGATTGACAACTGGAAAATAGAGAGAGAAAATGTGGAGGCTGTGACAGACTTTGTATTTCTAGGCGCAAAGATTACTGCAGATGCAGACTGTGGCCAGGAAATCAGAAGACGCTTACTTCTTGGGAGGAGAGCAATGTCCAGTCGCGATAAAATAGTAAAGAGTAGAGACATCACACTGGCAACAAAGATCCGCCTAGTCAAAAAGCAATGGTATTCCTGTAGTAACCTACGGATGTGAGAGCTGGACCTAGGAAGGCTGAGCTAAGGAAGATAGATGCTTTTGAACTGTGGTGTTGGAGGAAAGTTCTGAGAGTGCCTTGGACCGAGAGAAGATCCAACCAGTCCATCCTCCAGGAAATAAAGCCCTGCTCATTGGAGGGAAGGATACTAGAGACAAAGTTGAAGTACTTTGGCCACATCATGAGGAGACAGCAAAGCCTAGAGAAGACACTGATGCTGGGGAAAATGGAAGGAAAAGGAAGAGGGGCCGACCAAGGGCAAGATGGATGGATGGCATCCTTGAAGTGACTGGACTGACCTTGAAGGAGCTGGGGGTGGTGACGGCCGACAGGGAGCTCTGGCATGGGCTGGTCCATGAGGTCACGAAGAGTCGGAGACGACTGAACGAATGAACAACAACAACTATCTCCTCATTAGATGAGGGATGAATCAGTAGCATGCTTCACTTCATTGTCCTTTTAAGGATTGAGCCCATCAGCTTCCATTACACAATGTATTACACAATGTATTACTACTACTCAGTGCTTAAAGGGGTGATGAAGTGGAATATGACACCGCAGCAGCAACACAGGAGGCTTACTATGTTAGATCAATGGGGAGAAGCCAGATGGTTGACGCTTTCCCATGGGTTCACCCTGCCAGTAAGCTGGGTGATGCAGGGCAGGCCGTGATGCGTTCCCTACACAAACATTGTGACTCCAGGATGTAACTATAGGGACCTCTTCACACTGGCTGCCGGAATCGCCACACAGCATGGTGAATCCGGTACTCGCCATCGGGGGGGATGGCAGTCACTGGATTTGCCATTATATGTAGTGATTCCAGCGTCCAGTGTGAAGAGGTCCCTATAGTTACACCCTGGAGTCTCACTGTGTTCTGTGAAGTCCAGCTGCTGCCATGAACAGGTGTCCTGTCACCACTACTTTGGCTAACTGGTGCTACTGGTCAATCTATCACCAGTGTTTCTCCTACCCCACCAGAAGAACAGCAATGTCTCTGTTTGGAAACATGATGCATTCAGAGCAGGAAACTTGCTTCCAAGCAGGACCATATTCCCAAGCACACCATTTCCACCACAAAATTCAGATATGTTTGTGGGACTAGGGAGAGCTCAAGAAAAAAATGGCTGCAAACTTCTCCACTGGCTCCCAGTCCCCCTGTTTCCCATCCCTGAGCTGCCAGAGATGACTAGATTGGACAGACAACTTGAGCACTGTGAGGAGACAGAAAAGATAAACATCCCATGGATTTAAAGAGCAGCTTTCATGCCAAAAGACACGCAGGCAGGGGAAGGGAGAGAGCATGTTTAGAGAAAAGCAATTTACCGAATCCCCAGGGCTGCTTTTGGTGTTGTTGTTTTTTTCTTGTCAAAGCTGCCTCGAGTTTGACAAGATGGGTTTTTTGTCCCTCCCGCCCGCCTTTGGCAGCTCAACATCACTTTCTTCTGTAATATGCACATAAGTCACTGATGATTGGCATTGCCGGAGCTAATATCATAAAACCATCAGGTTGTTCGGGGGTTGTAAATAGAAGGAAGCCAAGACGTGACTATTTTGAGCTCAAAATGCCACTTTTAAAAAATTCCACGCACTTACAGCTGTCCAAAATCTCACGCCTGCTGGAAACCAGTACTGCCAGAAAGAATCCAGCCAACTCCTGCCTAATAGTGAGCACATAACTCTTTGCACCACTTAATTACCCAAATAGACCATGGAGTCCTCCAGTCAGAAAATACCGGCGATAATTTATCATGCGACTGGCAAAGAAAGAAAAACCCTTATGCAAAGTACAAGTTAGGGGTGAAATATGAATCCTTTTTATGAATGCAATATATCTTGAAAGACTTCCTGGCATGACAGACTGGATTTAATTATTTCTGGAAAGCTTCGGCTCATTAGCACAGGGCTCATTAACTCTTAAGCAAAAAGGAGTCTGGGGGTCAGTTCCCAACCAACAGTGTGGCTAGAAATGTCCATAGGGTTACCAAAATGACTCCTGGCTCTATGGCACATTATTTAATTCACTGAAACAATGCAGATTAAAAGGAATGGGGTTTGGTGTACCTGAAGCCAAGAATGGAGCAAACAAGGTACCTGCAGGTTAAATAGCCTGAAGTGCCTCAAAATGTGAGCCATGGTAGAAGCTGGGATAGGCTTAATGTTGCTAAGCTTGTTAATTTTCAGTGTCAAAGGCACTCATTCCAATCATAAGACCAGAGGGCCACAATACTCTAAAAGGCACCAGATCACATGTGATCTTGGAAGCTCTACAGCAGTAGTCCTCAATCTGTGGGTTCCCAGATGTTTTGGCCTTCAACTCCCAAAAATCCTAGCAGCTGGTAAACTGGCTGGGATTTCTGAGAGTTGTAGGTCAAAACACCTGGGGACCCACAGGTTGAGAACCATTGCTCAACAGGATCAGTCTTGGTTAGCATCTTGATGGGAAACCGCCAATGAATCCCAGGTGTGCTATCCTTGTAGATCAGAGGAAGGAGCTGAAAAAATGACTTCTGACTAATCCTTGCCCAAGAAAAGCCTATGAGGTTGCTATAAATCAAAGGTGACTTGAAGGTGACACACTTGGATGGCTCAAAACAAAAATTCTTCTAGTCCAGGCAAAGAAGAAAAATATATTCCAAAATGGGTTGTTGTGGGGTTTTTTCCGGGCTATATGGCCATGTTCTTTCCTGACGTTTCGCCTGCATCTATGGCAAGCATCCTCAGAGGAGTGAGGTGTTTTGGAAGTAGGCAAAAGTGTTTATATATCTGTGGAATGACCAGGGTGAGACAAAAGACTCTTGTCTGCTGGAGCTATGGGTGAATGTTTCAAAAATATATTCCAAAATGTTTGGAGAATATCATTGAAAACTGTGTTTCTCAAGTGTTGGAAATTCCGAAGCAGAGAACCCCGAACTGATGAAAATCTTTGCAATTTGGGACTTTTTCCTGTGCAAACACCATACTTTTTTTTTTGTAGAAAACAGCATTTTCTACAGAGGAAACATCAT